AATCAGCCGGGCGTGGTAGCGCATGCCTGTAATTCCAGCTACTCAGAAGGCTGAGGCGGAAGGATCGCCGGAGCCCAGCAGGTCGGGGCTGCGGTGGCCGGGAGTGGCCACTGCACTCCGGTCTGGGTGACCGAGTGAGACTCCAACTCTAAATAAATAAATAAATAAATAAAAAACCACAATAGTAACATCCATTAGTATGGCTACTATAAGAAGAGTCTTGAAGAAATATTTGAACACCCATGAGTTCAGGTAGCTAAATAGCTAAAAGGTAGAAGCAACCTGCATGTCCATCAATACAGGAATGGATAAAATGGCAGATATATATACAATGGAATACGATTCAGCCTTAGAAAGAAAAGAATTCTAAAATGTGCTAAAACATAGATGAATCTTGCGGACATCATGCTGAAAGAAACAGGCTAGTCACAAAAAGACAAATACGGCATGTTTTCAATTATATGAGGTACCAAGAATAGTCAACTCAAAGGAACAAAAAGTAGAATGGTGGTTGCCAGAGCTTTGGGGGCAGAAACGAATGAGAATTTGTTTAATGTGCATGCAATTTCAGGTCTGAAAACTGAAAAAGTTTTTTTTGTTTTGTTTTGTTTTGCCTTGTTTTTGAGCTAGGGTTTCACTGTCACCTAGGCTGGAGTGCAGTGGCACAAACATGACTGACTGCAGCCTTGAACTCCTGGGCTCAAGAGATCTTCCTGCTTTAGCCTCCTGAGTAGCTGGGACTATAGGCACACACTACCATACCGGGCTGATTTTCTATAGAGACAAGTTCTCACACTATGTTGCCTAGGCTGATCTTGAACTCCTGAACTCAAGCAATTCTCCCACCTCAGCCTCCCAAAGTACTGGGACTGTGAGCCCCTGTATCCGGCCGCAAATTGAAAAAATTCTGAAGATGGGAGGTGGTGATAGCTTTATAACAATGTGAATGTACTTAACACCACTGAACCATACACTTAAGGATGATTAAAATAGTATATTTTATCACAATTAAAAATAAAGAAGCTGGGCTCGGTGGCTCAGCTTGTAATCCCACGCTTTGGGAGCCCGAGGTGACCGAATTGCCTGAGCCCACAGGTTCGAGACCCATCTGGGCAACTTGGCGAGGCCTCATCTCTACAATAAATAAAAAAAATTTGCCGGGTGTGGTAGCACACGCCTGTAGTACCAGCTACTTGGAAGGCTGAGGCGGAAGGATCACTGAAGCCCAGCAGTCGAGGCTGCGGTGGCCAGGAGCGGCCACTGCACTCTAGTCTGGGTGATAGAGTGAGACTCCAACTCAAAAAAATAAATAAATAAAATAAATAAAAGAATTACTTTTAAAAATAAAGAAAATAATGTGCTGATGCAGAGGTTAACAAGCTTTTTCTATAAAAGGCCAGATGGTAAATATTTTCTACTTTGCAGGCCAAATGGTCTCTGGGGCAACCATTCAACTCTGCTCTAGTAGTGCAAGAGCAGCCATAGGCAATATGTACATGATTAGACATGGCTATGTTTCAATAAAACTTTATTTACAAAAACAGGTTGCAGGTTCGATTTGGCTCAAGTGAAAAAGTTTTTAAAAAAGAAAAAAGTCTAAACTATAATACTATTAAGTAAATATAAACACATACAAAGACTGAAAAAAGATACTGCATATTTTTCAAAGATACATATTAAAAGACATATATCAGCTGGGTGTGGGGGTTAACACCTTTATCCCACTTTGGGAGGTTGAGGCAGGAGAATTACTTGAGCCCAGGAGTTCGAGACCAGCCTAGGCAACATAGCAAGACCTCGTTTCTACAAAAAATCAAAAACTGACCAGTCATGGGAGTATAAGCCTGCTACTCAGAAGGCTGAGGCAGAAGGATCACCTGCATCCAGGTAATCGAAGCTGTAGTGAGCTATGATTGTGCCACTGCACTCCAGCCTGGGTGACAGGGTAAGATCCAAATCAATCAATCAATAGTACTGTATACCTCAAATATGCTAAGAGAATAGGTCTTATTCTTACCATGCACAAAAAAGAGTAACTATGTGAGGTGATGGATATGCTAATTAGCTTCATAGTGGTAATCATTTTACAACATACATGAATATCAAAACATCACGTTACTATATAACACCTCAAACATATAGAAGTTTTAATTATCAATCACATCTCAATAAAGCTAGAAAAACTGAAAAAAAAAATCAAATCTAATTTATTAAACATACCAGTGCATGTGAAAAGATTTCAAGGAGCCAGGTGTGGTAGCTCATGCCTGTAATCCCAGCACTTTGGGAGGTGGAGGTAACAGGACTGCCTGAACCCAGGGGTTTAAGACAAGCCTGGACAACTTGGTGAGATCCCGTCTCTACTAAATCAAAAAACTAGCTGGATGTGGTGGTGCGCACCTATAGTTCCAGCTACTTGGAAGGCTAACGTGGAAGGATTGCCTGAGCCCAGCAGGTAGAGTCTGCAGTGGCCATAAGCATGTCACTGCACTCCAGTCTGGGTGACAGAGTGAAACTCTAACTCAAAAAAAGAAAAGATTTAAAGGAAATTAGCTAAGTTGTAAATGGTACTGTTTAGAGTTTAGACTGTTCACTTGAGTTAATAAGACATTGATCAAATTTTACTTTAGTAGAGCAAAATGGTTTGCAAGGAACAACTAGGATTCTATATTCATCATTTTAATTCATTAAATATTAATTCTTAAAATAGTCTTCTATGAACAAGAGCTGCTTTCATGTGCATTTTTAAAAAAATCTCATATAACCTTGTGACTTTTCTATTTTCAGTAACTTAAACCTTTTTTATGATTTTTAGATTTCCCCAAAGAAAACAAAAAACAAAAAAACCCTCCAGGGAAAAATAATTCAGAAGCTACAATTGCATCTTTCTGAACAACAAATCACATAATGTAAGAAATCAACGTCCACCTACCTCCCCAGGTGCTGACGTGAATTTTTTTCCACCACATGTAGAAGAACAGCAGAGCAGACAGGAGGAACTGGGATGTGGTATTGGCCCAGGCAGATCCCCTGAAGGAGAAAAGTAATCATTACCCACAAGTATATTCCTTCCAAATAAAAATAAGCAGGATGCCTTGACAAGCTTTTGCTCTGGGATAAGAAGCACAGTTATGAGATGAGCCTGGAACTCCTAAACTATCTTCTTTTAGTATTTTAAATGCTGAATGCATTTATTTTTGGGCTTTCGGGTTTTTTTTCTTGAGTTAGGGTGTTGCTCCGTAGTCCAGGCTGGAGTACAGTGGCACGATCACCACTCATCGTGATCCTTTCACCTCAGCCTCCCAAGTAGCTGGGACTAGAGGTGTCTACCACCACACCTCATTGATTTGTTTTATTTTATTTTTATAGAGATGAGATCTCATTATGTTGCCTAGGCTGGTCTTGAACTACTCCCAGGATCAATCAATCCTCATGCCTCAGCCTCCCAAAGTGCTACTGTGCCTGCCAGGAATATTTTCATTGGTGTGTTTTGTTTTTGTTTTTTGGGGGGTTTTGGGTTTTTTGTTGTTATTGTTGTTGTTGTTTTGAGTTGGAGTCTCACTCTGTGAGTTGAGTCTCATGACCACTGCAGCCTCAACATGCTGGGCTCAGGTGATCCTTCTGCCTCAACCTGCTAAGTAGCTGGAACTACAGGCACGCACCACCACACCTGGATAATTTTTTAATTTATTGTAGAGATGAGGTCTCACCAATTTGCCCAGGCTGGTCTCGAACTGGCGGGCTCAGGCAATTCACTCACCTCAGCCTCCCAAAGCACAGGATTACAGGCTGAGTCACCGAGCCCGGCTTAAAATTTCATTCTTAATACCTTTCATTTTTGTTGAAGTGCTGGTCATGATCCCCAAAACAGGTGTTCATTTATAAACACACTACCCTAAAGCACCTAAAACCTGCTGGGGCTTGGGCTACACACACTGGCATAACCACTTGCTAGACAACATGAGGAGGCTGACTCTAGTCTTATGCACCAGAGGTGTCCTCGAGTGAGGGATGGACCAAATGACACCTACCAAGGGAAGTCCAAACTGACAGAGTTTTCTCTGTGGGACCCTTGTCTCCTTCAGCTTCATAAAGATGGAATCGGGCTCAATCTCTGACAATTCACAGACAGTGATAGAATCCCTACGGGTTGTCTGCTCTCCTCTGCCTTGGCATGCATGGCCCATTTCTGCCTTCACACACCTTCTCCAGGTTGAGTCCACTTTGACATGCAGACAATTCACTTAGATGTCACTTCTTCCTAGATGCTCTCTACCACCACTTCCTTCCAACAGCCCGAGCTAGCTGCTGCTCCTCTGGGATCCCGTGGACCCCACCTCTTACCTGGTACACTGAGAACCTGAACACCCAACTCTACTTGCCTGTTCACCTGTCCACATCCCCCCTACAAGACTGCTTCACTCCCTGTATCCCCAGCCCCTGGGATGACAGCCAGCACACAGTGGACACTCAGTATTTAAGTAATGAATGGGTTGCAACTTACACCACTCCGAGGTCCAGGACGTACAGCAAGAGAGCATTCATGCCCATGTTGATGACATTTGCTGCGATCCCAGTAATAACCTGAGGCATGATGATGCCCTAAAATCCCCAAACAAATAGGAAAACATGAGCATTTCCAAAAGCTAATTAGCTGGGTGTTCAACAAGCAATGATTTTAAATGATGGCAAACAGCTGGGCGTGGTGGCTCATGCCTATAATCTCAGCACTTTAGGAGGCCGAGGTGAGAGGATCACCTAAGCCCACGGGTTCGAGACCAGCGTGGGCAACACAGCAAGACCTCGTATCTACAATAAATCAAAAAATTAGCACATGCCTATAGTTTCGGCTACTTGGAAGGCTGAGGCGGAAGGATTGCCGGAGCCCAGCAGGTCGAGGCTGTGGTGGCCGTACGCGTGCCACTGCGCACTCCAGCCTGGGTGACGGAGTGAGACTCCAACTCAAAAACAAAAAAAAACAGAGTTGATTGCTATTAAAGCAGAATGAATCCCACTCGGGCATCAATGGACAATGCCTTTATGTTAGAAGGCAAGCAGGCTGCTTGCCTTGGATGGACTAGGGGAGACCTGGAGCAGAGTGCAGGCCCTCACCACTGCCCGCTGCTTCTCACCCTCGGCCTTCTCCTTTGCTGTCCCCTCTGCCTCTGGCGTACTGACGGCTCACTGGACCCGCACACTTCCAAAAATATGGCTGTGCGACTCGGGGTCTCGCTCCTCTAAAACAAGCACAGGAGCCAGACCCCAGGCCAGACGCAAAGCCGGCAGCCAGCCCAGAAAAGGTAAAGGGAGGGCATGGGGGCTGTGGAGAGAAACAGAAGGTGACCAAGAGGAATGGGATGGATTGACACGGGCATCTCTCTCAGGCTGGACAAAATCAGCCGGGCTCAGTGGCTCAGCCTGTAATCCCGCACCTTTGGGAGGCTGAGGTGAGTGGATTGCCTA